GGCTGCTGCTGCTGTGTTTGTTGTTGCTGCTGCTGTTGTTGCTGCTGCTGTTGCTGCTGCTGCTGTTGCTGCTGCTGCAAAAGCTGAAGATGTAACTGCTCTTGCTGTTTCTTGTAAAACTCTTGTAGTTGTTGCTGAATAAACCATTTTGACTTTAATAAATAAAGGCAAAAGTTTCATGTATTATAAATCTCCTAAACTCCTCTAGACTGGCATATGGTAGAGTATCCATTATGATTCGCCTTACAAAAACAACAAAAAATATGCACCGGATTCAAAGAAACAGTTCTGCATACATTTTTTTCCCCAAGCATCTCTGAAATATTCCAATCCAGAATCCAAAAATTCCTAAACAAAAGCTTTGTAGAAAAAAAATCTATATTCTAAAGGGCCACAACCAAATTAATAACTTACTAGATCTGAAGTCCTACTAGAATATACAGATCAATTGTACGCTACCGCTTAAAGAATAAAAGTTTAGCTACATAAAATCAGGTTGCTCAATTCTTATTGAGAAAAATTTAATTCATCAGAATAATGTCAGACTTAGATATTCAAGTAACTGGCCTGTAGTCATTATCATAAAAGAGAACAGAGTAATTAAACACATACGAATTCAGGTGAAGCACATTATTTTCTCTATAATAACATAAAGTTTACTTTACATATATATACAAGGCTCCAGTAAGATTCTTTTCTTTTTAATTTATAAAAAAAAGTAAACTTCATGAATTTGTGGCCTAGCTGTCTAACTTTGTTGAAATTAGTAGATTCTTGTAAACTATAAGCAATTTTCAAAAGGAAATTTTAGGATGTTCCTTTCTTCATTTTAACAAAGTGGTCAATTCAAATTTCATACTAATGGGAACAAAAAGGAGTGCTAAAGTGTTTAGGAGTTTCGAAAGTGAGAATTACGTGATGAATGCCTGTGTTCTGTTGGCAAGTCTACACACCAAATGTACCTAAGCATTTGAATATTTAAATATTGATTTATTTCCATCAAATTAAACCTTTCTCTGCTCTGATTCTAGTCTTTAATGAACAGAAGAATACTAGAGAATGTAAATGTTCTTACTTGGTTCTGCAATGAAAATGTTCGATTTGTATTACAGAACACTGATAATCCCCTCAAATGAAGGCTGACCTGTTAACTACGCCCACTGTGCTGTCTGCATGGGTGCACAACCTGCTGAGTCATGCTAGGATTCCAAAGCAGGTAACACACATTACCTGCTGCAGCATGACTGCCTGCTGCTGCTGGAGAAGGGCTTGGAGCTGCTGAGGAGACAGAACTTGCTGCTGAAGGATCTGCTGCATTTGCTGAGGGGTGATCACCTGGGGAGTCATCATGGCCACTGACACAGGCACCTGCACAGGGAGAGAAGGAAGAGGGTCATAAGCAGGTGTTTCTTAACCAACAGCACAGCTATAGGCCAGCTTTCATACATTGCTTAGCATCAGTGATCAATAATTTTAAATAATGTTTTTAATAGTGTTTAACTGTAATAATACTAAACTACCAGCTTTTCAGGGGCATCAGATTTCATCAGATCCAGGTTTATGTTCCGTACCTCTTATGTATTATATTAAGATGTTGGAGCTCTGACTAGTATAGTTAAACATAAACAAACATGTGGCAGGATTCTTGATATTTCATACTTGATCACATCATCAATGTCACAGTGCTATAAGTGAAAAGCCTTTCAAAATGCTTTGAAGGAATGATTAAAACGAATAAAGATTAAAAAATTGAAAATAATATGCATAGAAATATCTATTATCTAAACTAGTAAGAGACATGTAGAATATACTTCATAAAACATAATCACCATCTTCAAATTTTATATAGGTATATAATGCGTAATAGTAGAAAATACATATAGTAATAGATATTACTGCCTGAGCACAGGCATTAACTTATGTAAGAGGCATGAGTATACATATACGTGTGTGTGTGTGTGTGTGTGTGTATCCAGAAAAACAGCCACCTAGTAGGTCCTCTGAAAGAAAAAAATCATAAACCTCATGTTCTAGTTTCTTCTTTAAACATTTATTTCAAGCAATTGAACCTGTATCAGGAAGTCCAGAAATAAAAAGATTTCTCAAAGGTTATTCATTAAACTGAAGAAAATGAAAGTATTTTGCTTAAAATTTTCTTTCCAGCACTATCTTCTTCAAGTTTCTGGGAATGAAAGAGGGAAAAAGCAAAGGCAATGAGGAAGGGAGAAAGATACATGGGAGAAAAAAAAAAAAGGGAAGGAAAATGCAGAGTAAGGAAAAGCTAGGGAAAATGCCCGAGAGAGAGAGAGAGAGAGAGAGAGAGAGGTAAGGGGTGGGGAGAAATAGAAAAAGGGTGGCAGAACAGGTGAAGAGGAAAACCTGTGTGAAAGCCCTTGTATGTGCTCAGATCGGCAGCAGCCACACTGTTTGAAGGCACTGCTTGTACTAACCAGCACGTAATCAAACAATTTGTCAAGTTGCCAAGTTTGCAACCTTTGAAAAAGCAATCACTTTCTTTCCTAGAAAAAACAATTCTCTTCTACTGTAAATGAAAGCAATTATTTATATAAATATTGCTTTAGTATAAATTTATGAAACAACGTGCCTTTGGAAACAGAAAAAGATTAATAGACATGATTCACAATTTATTTCAGTAGTTATTTTTAAATGGAGTTCAAACTTTTCCTGTCTGGAACTTTATGTTAAGAGAAAGGAGAAATTATAAAAGAAAAAAAGAGGTTAGAAGATAAAAAAAAAAAATCTAAGGTGGATTAATTCCTCTCTGTTAGAAAATACTTCATACTTAATACTGAAAAACAGCTATATCTTTTTTCACATGTTGACATTTTGAAATATGAATGAATTAGATCTAATTTTGAAACATGAAAAGGAAACATGATAGAAATTTGATTATTCAAAAAATAATTTCTGAGTAGTTTAAAGAACATGCTAACGTACCGAAGATTACTATAATATATTTGATTTTATCATAATAAAAAGGATCCCAAAATGTATGCTGTGATATTGATCCATGAGGTTGCCCAACTATTTGGCTATTTAAAAACATTATCATTTTACTTCCGTGTTTGTTCATTGAGTAACAAATATAATGGTTAGAACAAGTAGTTTGGAAATTTGTCTATCTACAAAAATGTGTTTACCTCAAAAAAACTGATAAGAAATCAAACTAAGATGAAGAGTCAAAAAAATTTAGTAGGTGTGCTAGATTTTTAAAAGGCTGTCAATCCAGATAATTAGATAAATAAATATAGAGATGACAGTTAGCAACAAAAATTACATATATATGCATATAGATACATACTTTCTATAAAGAAGATTACATGATAAGCGTGCCACATCTCTCTCACCTAATAGTCCCTTGTCGTTTTTCAGCTTCTGGAGTGTTTTCACTTAATGATTTCTATGTACACAAGTAAAAGAATTTTCTGTATAATAATTACAAATTAACTTTGTAAAGGAAGTTCTATGCACGAGTGCATGCCACTGCACGTTTAGAGTCAAGTTTCAGTCTATGTATGTAATCTGACTCTATAAGATTGCTGCTATTGTGGCTAAAGTTTTTCACTTTCACATTCTTTAGAGTTCTTTCGTCTTTTCATTATATAGGTTAGATTAATATTTTTACTCTTATGATTAGTATCTTACAATGAATAGTTATTACATAAACATAATCATCACATCATCGTCATCCTAACATCATACATGTCAAGTGCTCACAGGTATGTTATGGTTGGCAAATTTTGGTCAGATTCAGGCTTTTCCTCTAAAGAACATCCATCTAAAATTGACAATATGCACACATAAAGATATGTAGAAAGATATTTCAATGAACAATAATGAACTGAATACTACTATCAGATATGTACAAAAACCACAAATCAAAATTAATTATATAGGTTATAATGCACATGTAATTCTGAGGGATTTCTAATACTACAAATAAGCCAATATTATAGTTTCTAAAACTTCATAAATAAGTTCATCCAAAATAAAACATTTGAGCCTGCTAAAATTTTTAATTATGTCAATAAATAGAAAATTAGTTTTTCCTGCAACAAATCTCAGTTAAATATAGACTGCCCATTTGCCTTGGTTAGACAATGATTTTTTAAATGCAGAACTTCTCCATTTTTTAGTGATACATGTTACATGGCACATTTCCTTTACTTTTCCTTCATCACTTTTGTTACTGCCCCATTGCATTTCTTTGCAATCCCAGTTGTTACAGGAATCCACTGACAAAAATATGTAGAAATGAACTGAGTACTTATTTTTAAAATGACAAATTATACTACTTATCAATATTTAAACAGACAAAACCAGCATCAGTCAGATTTTAAAATCTGTAGATAACTTTCTGAAAAATATATATGTGTATATATATACGATATATATACATATATATATTTGATATGTGTGTGTATATCATATATATATATTTGTCACACAAACACACACACACACATAACTTCAGTGTTAAGATTAAGGGGATATTTCCCACTAGGTAAATAATTTTATGCAAATATTCTAATGAGGGATCACAATTTAGACAGGTGATAGAGAATGGGAGGGAACACTTGCTTCTGATATTTTCTGGTAAGAAGGCAAATTAAAGTGTGGTGAGTCTACCAACAAATGAAATCAGAAGGAATAGCTAGTTGTGAGTGGCTGCCCTAGTGAATATATAAACTGATCAGTTAAAAAATCTTCCAGGATGTAGGAAGCAAAGACAGACAAGTATGGTTAGGAGATTCTTCTTTTTTCTCTCAGCATTTACTATACTGACAGATTTAAAATTCCCCATAGTGATGCAACAAGCAAGGATTTCCATTTACCCTTATTTATTTTTTGATTAGGTAAATTAAGCCCAAACCTGGTGTACTAATCTGTGCAGTAAGAAATACTGGGTAATTGGACATAATAATAGAAAACATTCTGAGACTGTGTTGAAAAAGGTAAAAGTAAAATTATTTAAGTATTATTCTATAATAGATAGGTGTTAGGGTTTTAAAAATCTATATCATAAACATTTTTATGTGAAATTCTAAGCATAGTTCACTGAAGGAATCAGAAAGTTACTAGTAGACAATGCAAAGATCATGTCTTGGTTAAAATGAATGTAAAGAGTTATTTTAAGAGTTATAAAAATGGACCCAAGTGTTTTTTTTTCTGATGTAAGCACACTGTCTTTTTACTATCTAGTTCAGTAGGAGCATTTTTGAATGTGTTGGGTTTGCATATTAAGTGTGTCACTTAATTAAACATCCCAATTATGTGTGGGTGATTGGAAAGGTTCTCAGCATAGTGTCAGTCCAATTCTTTCTTCACTAAATGTGAATCGGAAAAAGCAGTCACAACCTGTAGATGAGATTTACAGTGAAAAATATTATTTCCTTGTTAACAGGGTCTGCCAACTACTGGTTCACAGATCCCTTTATCTTTCCTTAAAATCTGAAGACAAAGGAAGTCCTCACTTTCTTGCCTGGGTACTTAAAAAAAGTAACTACTAGGATTAATCACTTGTGCAATGAAAGCAAAATTAGCTTTCTTATTATAGTATCTGGTCTCTTCTTAACAGACTATTGATAGAAAATATTTGATTGTAAATCCTTGATAAATTTCTTCTGTTTGCTTCTTTCCATCCACCATAGCTATATCTACAGTTTATTTTAACATAAGGAACTACTGTATTGAATTGCCAGCTTTGGTCTAAATTTGAGCCGCGGTAACATATATAATGTCTATTATAATAATAGCCTTTCAAAAGCTTCCTGGTTTTAGAGTATTAAAAAGAACTGACAATGAATTGAGTGGTATTTGTAAGCTTTTCATCAAGTACTGAACAGGAGTATTTAAAGAGATCTGGGATGGACAGTGCATACTCCTCTTTAATGCAATCTTTTAGCAGCAGGGCAAGAGTGTGACAGGGACAACAGAAGGAGCAGAACAACGCAATAACAGACACGGAGACTCCTTTTAATCATGATTCATCACTACTTAGTTTCTGCTACTATTTTAGGATACTAATTTTAATTTAGCATTCATATTTTCTGTTTTGGGAAGTGGAGTCTGAACAACTTTTCTCTTAGTTACACACATATTTTCAGTCTTTTCTTTGTACTATTGGTGAAAATCAGGCTGCTCATAGAGGCATGTCGTTGTAGAGATTATGGAGAAGTGATACAAAATATGCTACACCATATGCTTAAAGGCCAAAACTGCAACTTCTAATCTCACTCTGGCTAATCAAGCTGCTCAGATTATTTTACATACATCTTTGGTTTAGGCCTTGACATGCCCTTGTTTTTCTTTCTTCTCAAAGCTAAAGTTCCCCTCTTTGATTAGCT